TCTCTGAGGCATTGTGACATTTTTGTGTTTATATTTCATTGGTGATTGTATGTTGGAGTGACTTGCCCACGGTTTTCATTTACTTTGTTTTGTTTGTATGTTATCTATGCAAGCAGGGTACTGTACTGTGCTCCTCTATTCACTAGAAGATAGCACTTATACACTTACCACCTGTCTCCTTTCCTGTTGTCACCCTCTCATATGTCCCTGCCAACCTTGGCAAACAGAGCCTATTCTTAGGTCCCTGGAATCTGAATGAGATGCTATCACTTTGAAATCCAAAATGGCTGCCACTTGTAAAGATTCAAAATATTACACCCTTGGTCACTTTAAATATCCAAAATGGCCACCACTTTTAAATATTCAAAATGGCTGTGCCCTTGGTCACTTTGAATATCCAAAATGGCTGCCACTTATAAACAATCGAAATAGCTGCATCCTCTGGACAGTGGAAAGTCAACAACTCAGGGTGTCTCCCTCCTTGTTGTCTCCCTTCCTAGTCATAGGTCACCAGAGTGGTCATTCCTGCAGCCCTTGGTGACCACGGCTCATCTTTAGGTCAATTCTCAGTTCCCAACACCACTTGGAAATATTCAGGCTATTGGTCCTATCAGAGTAGTGGACAATCTGCAGCTCCAACGGTCTCTGTACTCACTGTTTTCGTTCAGGTTTTTCCACTAGTTGGTGCCTAATCCACTTCTCTATAGTTCCTTTCAAAGCTCAGTGCTCCAGGATTATCTTCTGTATTTCTGTCAATTGGTTGGTTTTTCTTTTCTTTGTTGAAGAAGGTCTGTGTCCCTTGTCTGCCTACTCCTCCATCTTACTGGAAGTCCCCACTGCCTTTTCTTAAATACTTGTTCTTGCACTTGCTGCTTCCTCTTCTTGAGAAGTTTTTTGCCTGGCTGCCTCCTTTCCATCTTTTCAAATCTTAGCCCAAATGTCTCCTCCTGATAAAAGGCCTTCCCTTACCATCTCTGCTACACCATCAGAGCTCCTTCCCACACTCTGGACACCCTTTATCCCATCAACCCCTTTCATTTTCTACATAGTTCTTATTTCCTTTATCTTATCACTTATTTCTTTAATATTTGTCTCATCCCATTCCTCAGAGGGAGCTCTGGTAGCGTAGTGCCTATGGCACTTGACTTCTAATCAGAAGGCTAATGGTTCAAACCCACCAGCCACTCCTCGGAAGGAAGGTTGGGCAATCTATTTCCGTAGTGATACCGCCTCAGAAACCCAAGGAGGGGTCGCTATGAGTTAGCTCCAACTTGATGGCACATAACAACAACAACAACACTCCTTGGAAGGAAGGTTGGGCAATCTTCTGTAATGATACCACCTTGGAAACCCAAGGAGGGGTGGCTATGAGTTGGATCCAACTCATCCCAGATCCCTTAATGCTTTGAGCAACAGTTTTTCCTTGAAGCTGCCCACAGTCTTCCCATAGTTAGATACAAACTCAAGTTAAGGGATCTGTAGGAAAATCAAGACTAGGAGGCTACTGACTTGGTAAAAGTAGTGCTTTGGAGCAAGACAGCTTTGCATTCAAGTCTTCGCTAGGCTACTTTCTGGCTATGTGCTCTTGGGATAGTGGCATAACTTCTCTGAGCTATGTTTTTCTCACTCATAAGTTGAAGATAAACAAAATCTTTTTTCTTACTTATTAATTTAACACATTTATTGAGCTCCTGTTATGTGGCAGAACCAGGTTCTAGACTGGTGCTGCCCAACAGAAATTTCTGTGATATAAAAAAAAAGTTCTACAGCTACACTGCCCAACATGATAGCCACTAGCCATATGTGCTCTTGGGTACTTGAAATGTGACTAGTGCAATTCAGGAGCTGAATTCTTAATTTTACTTAATTTAAATTTAGGACCTCTGGTGGTGTAGTGCCCAAGGCATTTGACTGCTAACCAGAAGGCTGGCGGTTCAAACCCACCAACCACTCTTTGGAAGGAAGACTGGGCAATCTACTTCTGTAGAGATATTGCTTTGGAAACCCAAGGAGGACCCAGATTTGTTGGTTGTGTGACTGGGCAAATCCCTTTGCCTTCCCTTTCCCCAGGTGCATCACTATAAAATGAGGAAACAGAGGCTATCATTCTGAGGGTTGAGGTTGGCAGGCAGGGGGCCTAGTGTGACTGAGTACAATCTCCAGATGCTGCCTGGCTCTAGGGCAGGCCAGTATGGGCGTCTGGGAGCCCCCTGTGCCCCACCCCACCCCCACCTCGGGTTGTTGTTGTTATGTGCCATCCAGTCGGACCAACTATGATAAACAGCAGCTCCAGGTTCTTCAGTGCCTAGTGGGCACTTTTACAGATGAGGTAAAGTAATTTGGCCAAAGCTATTAAGTGAGGAAATTGCAGAGCAGGATTCGCACCATGCCTGCAAGCATGGTATCAGAAGATGTCAGAACTGAAAGGCAGAAAGATTGTTTTTCCCCACTTCCATGATCATGCCAGGGTTGTCCACGGGCAGTGCTACACGCGCAGGGTCGGTGGCCCAGAGAACAGACCAAGGATCCACAGGAATCATAGGAAGAAGAAGTAGACCAGTGATAGGTGGTGAGCTCCCCGTCTCTGGGACCGTGCAAGCCGGTGGTGGGCAGTCTGAGGCGCAAGGGAAGGGGGCCGAGGCAAGCCTCTTCCCGGCCGGCTCCCGCCTCCAGGGCTGCCTGGGCTCTAGACGGCGGCGCCGCCTGGGCGGGGCGGGGGCTGCTATTCTTGTCTGGTGATCGCAGCCCGCGGCCAGGAGAGGGAGGGGGCGCTCGCGTCGCCATATTCCTTCCCGCCGGCGGCCCCGCGGCGCGCAGCCACCATGAGCACCGCCGCCTTCCACATCTCCAGCCTCCTGGAGAAGATGACATCCAGCGACAAGGACTTCAGGTGCGCCCCCGCCTCTCCGCCCCTCATTGAAACTCCGGACCTCCTTCTTCCCAGCGCAACGCTAGCCCATCCCCCACGACCCTTCACCCCCTCACCCCCGCTTTCTCCCCGCCCCGCTGTCCCTGCCTCAGCTCTCTGCAGTAAGTCCCCAGCCCTCAGCTAGACCCATCCCCTTCGTCATTGCCCGCAAAGTAACTCCCGCTTATTGCGGCTCTGCCCCTTTCCCACGACGCTAATCCCTGCTTCATCTCCCACCTTTCCAAGTTTAGCCCCTGCCTCTTATTCCCCAGCAAAGCCTCAGCTCTGCCTCTGTGCCCCTTTCCTCACCTTCTTCATTCTTTATCCATGCCCAATCTTCAACTCCCTCCACTTGATGTACCCAGGCCCTCCGCCTGAATCTACGGTGAAGCCCTCAGTCTTTCCCTAAGGGATCCAAGCACCTGCCTCTTCTTCCCCTCTCCTCATTGAAACCCTAACCCTTTCTGGGACCCCAGACCCTGGCTAGACTTTTTCACTGAAACCCCACAGCTCTTCCCTCCTCTCAAAATCACCTGAACCACCCCTCTCCACTTCATTAAGGCCAGCCTGTCCTATCCCGGGTTGGCCAGTCACAGCATGAAGTGAGGGGCTGTGCAAAGTCTGCCTTTCCAGGCACAGGTAGGTATGTGGGGGAGCTTCTAGGTTTTTTCACATTCACAGGGGAAACTGAGGCCCAGGGAAGCGCAAAGGATACCTTAAAGAACATGGATACATTTACCGAACATTCTATCACTTTTTTCCCATTTTACGGACATGGGCACTGAGGCTCAGAGGAGTACCTCTTAGGTACAGTTCTAAGTGGAGGATTTGGGGTTCAATGTAGGTCAGTCTATTACAGAGGGTGAGAGCTTAGGAAGGACTTCTGATTCCAGCCCCCCTGACAGATGAGAAGACTAAGGTGCTACCCTCATCATCTGAACCCTGCCACCTCCTGCAACCCAGACATGCCTTAAGAGCACCCCACTTTAGTATAGCATCGGAGCCATATTCTTGTGTTCAAATCCCTATTCCCTCTCTTACTGGATGGGTGACCTTGGACCACATGATGTGGTGACAAACATAAAACTGTGTATTGCAGTTAGTAAGCAAGCACAAGTAAACATGTGCTTACCTTGCTTACTGAGTACTCCATCCCCATCAAGGAATATGAATTTGAAAAGAGGCTTTGATTCTGTAGGAAGATGCTGTGGGGTTGGAAGAGAGACAGATGTCAGCCATACCTAGAAGCAGAATCTCTTATGTGGTGAAAAGGTATGAAATTGTTCACTAGAGATTAGTAACTAAGCACAAGGAAACTCATGCTTACTGAGTAATCCAACATTCTTCCTACTCAGTTGACACTTCTTTGGGATGTCTTCCTGGCATTCACACTGGGTTATGCACTCCCCTAGCTCCCACACACCGCCTCTGCATATTTCTGCTGTATCATTTTTTAGACTATTTGTTGGCCTCTCGTTTCCTAGGAGATTCCAAGCTCCTGGACCACTGGTGTTGTGCACTTACTTTTTGTGCCTCCAGAGACTGCCCTGGGTACACAGTAGGTGCTCAGTGAATGTTTTCTGAATGGACAGTAATGGACTTTGGGAATGAATGCTGGGTCCTAGGCTCCCTTCTGTGCTGGCCACTGAAATGTTCTCCAGAGCTTGCAGGGCTGAAAGTGATATGCTGAGATCACATAGCCAGCCAGTGGCCAACTTGAGATTTGTACCACTGCCCCTCAGACCCCTTGAGCTCTCCAGTCTTCAGGAGAAGGAAGAAACTTGGGTGCCAGGTCTACTGACTAGGCACTGAGAAGCTCTTTCTTTCTCTGCCAAGGGCCCCAAGAACACTTAAAACCTCCCCAGTGGTGTCTATTTTTAGTCCAAATACCAGGGGGCTGAGTCATGCTGACCAGCTGTCCAGGCACCCTTGTGGCTGAGTATTTCAGCTGAATTGCCTCTAGGGTTTCCCTGGAATGAAACTGAGACTGTCTTATATCTGGCTTCTGGAGGTGGGTGGTAGCCATGGTGGGGGTCCTAGGCAGGGTGTGAAGCCTTTGATTCCTGCTTTTCTGGCTTCTCTTTGTGGGCAGTAGGCTGCCCTCTTCCCACTTAGACCCCAACAGTCAAAATAGTTCACTTCGGAGGTCATACAGGAACTCCTAAATCATTTATTGAAAAAACAATAATACTGGTTGAGGAGCCAGGGCATCTGATTGGTGCACTGATTTTCCTGTCAAATTGCTGTGTGACCTTGGGCAGTTCTTGCAACTTCTCTGCACCTAGTTTCCTCAGGTGCCTCAGACAAGGAACTAGTTGCCCATTAACCTCCCTCCACTGCAAGTATGATCCCACTTATATGAAATACCTAGAATAGGCAAGTGTATAGAGACCAAAGTTTATCAATGGTTGCTAGGGTGGGTGGGAGGGAGGGGGAAAGGAAGAATCAATGTTTACGGGACACTGAGTTTTTTGTTAAGGGTGATAGTATAATTTGGGAATAGATATGGTTGAACAATATAATGAACTAATGTTACTGAACTGTATGTATATGGGAAGATTATTGAAATGGCAAATGTTTTGTTACCTAAACATTTACCATAACAACTAGAACAAAAGAATAGAGCAACAAAAGAAGAAGAAAAAAAATGAGGAACAGGAGCAAAAAATGGAATATGTGGTTAATTGCCTCCATGAACAACTGTCTCCTTTGCCATGAGACAAGAAGAACTGGATGGTGCCTGACTACCATTACTAAACTTTTTTTCCTTTTTTCCTGAAAGTTGCGCTTCGGAGGTTGAGTTCATTCCTGATTTGAAGGGTATCTGAAGGCCGTAATCTCAGGGTCATAATCTACCAGTCTTCATCAGACCAGTAAGCCTGGTCTTTTTATGATTTTGAGTTTTGTTCCACATTTTTCTCTCACTATCTGGGACCTCCTATTGTGATCCCTTTCAGAGCAGTCAGCAGGGGTAGCTGAGCACCATTTAGTTCTTCTGGTCTTACTGTCATGGAGGCTGGGGTTCACATTGTCCATTAGTCCTTTGGACTAATTGTTTCTCAGCATCTTTGATTTTCATCATTCTTTGCTCCAGATGGAGAGAAACCAAAAGTTACAACTTAGATGGCTATTCACAAGCTTTTAAGATCAAAATAGGATATAGACATTGCCTTTGTGAACTATGTTGTGCTGAACATTTTAATCAAAAATGCTATAGAAGAATCCTGATCAAAAGGGGAAAAATGTAGAACAGAATTTCAAATTCTCATGGAATCTAGATTTTCTGGAGCCATGGAGGCTGGATGAACCCCCAAACTATTATCTTGAAGTATCTAAACCTTAAATTAAACCCAAAATATTTTCTGAAGTATTCTTAAAAGCAAATAACTGTTTAGCTTAACAGGTAAAAAATGTCTGCCTTGAGCATTATGTTCTTTCAAGAACTATGTATATGAAATCAAAGTGACAACAGCAACTGGAAAGACACGATAGAAACCTTCGGGGGGGGGGTGAGTTTATGTTAATGAAGAGGAACGACTGAAAAAAGAAAGGTAAGAATGGTTGCACAACTCACAGAATGTAATCAATGTCATTGAATTGTACATTTAGAAATGGTTGAATTGGTATATGTTTTGCTGTATAATTCTCAAACAACAATAATAAATAAATAAATAGTTAAAAAAAAAAAATGTCCCCAGTAGGGTAATTGAAGTCTAGAAGGGCACACAGTGTATATTTTGGTACTTATTACTCAATAAAGCTAACCAAAGGGTGTACAAAACAAATGAAAAACCTAGGATGCAAAGAGTTAGGAGAAAAGACAATTCCCATTTTATAGATAGAAAAACTGAGGCCCAGAGAGAAGTCAGTTGCCAAAAGTCACCCAGCTAGTAAGTGCAAGACCAGCACAAGTTTACACCACTATCTGAAAGGAGAGCGTTCTTAGGAATATTTCATAAGCTGAAAGGATAAAAAGAAATTGCCATTAATTTATATCGGAAGAAATTTTGAGTGTTCCCAGACAGAAAAAATAACCTACCAAATCAAAACATAACATAAAACCTAAAATACTACTAACACAGAGTGTTCATAGATGCAGTTCAAAGCTATGACTGCTTGATGCTGAGTGTAGTTCTCAGAGAAGGAGCTTTGCTGCTCAGGATGTCTCTAATGGCTTGCTGCAAAACAAACAGTGTAGCAAAGTTGCAGGGTACAACAAACAAAAATGACTTGGGTTTCTATATGTCAGCAGTGAGAAATCTGAGAGGAAAGTTAGGAAAACCATTCCATTTACAATAGCATAGAAGAGAATAAAACACCTAGGAATGAATCTAACCAGGGACATGAAGGAATTATACAATGAAAGCTACAATACACTGCTGGAAGAGATTCAAGAAGACTTGAATAAGTGGAAAGGCGTCTAATGGTCATGATTTAGAAGACTTAATATTTTTAAGATGTCAGTACTACACAAAGCGATCCCAATCAATATTCCAACAGCCTTCTTTACAAAAATAGAAAAACCAATCCGCAACTTTACATGGAATGGCAAGGGGCCCCGGATAGCTAAAACAATGTTGAAAGAGAAAAACAAAGTAGGAAGAATCGCACTTCCTGATTTTAAAACATACTATACAGTAATCAAGGTACAGGAATTGATGTAACAATGGACACAGACCAATGGAATAGAATTGAAAGTCCAGGTATAAGTCCACACATCCATGATTAACTGATTTTTGACAAGGGTTCTAAGTCCATTAGATGGGGAAAGAAGAGTCTCTTCACCATGCTCTGGTGGTGAAGTGCCTAAGGCATTTGACTGCTAACCAGAAGTCTGGCAGTTCAAACCCACCAGCCATTCCTTGGAAGGACGGTTGGGCAATCTACTTCCCTAATGCTACCACCTTGGAAACCCAAGGAGGGGTAGCTATGAGTCAGATCTGACTTGACGGCAGTGAGTTTGGTTTTTTTGGTTTGTGCAA